AACATCGTATTTTGTCATAGTTATTGTCACCGGTGGTGGGAGCCGGCTAGTAAGAAGAGGGGTCCTAACACCCCACTTGGAAGAGAATTACAACCATTATATTACCAAAAATACCCTTAAATGATTTTTCTTGTACTAAGAAACCCTTTCATGGCACCCACTCCTACAAGAAAGGTCTCTGACATTTTGTTTTTGCTGAAAACAACTAAAAATATCCTAAAATTTCAAAAAGAATATTATTTTTATATAATAGATCCGGTTAACGTCCATTCTAGATCCGCTATTGATTATCTGACCTCCTCTCAAAGGCTGTTGAAGGGGGCAGGGCCATGACCCATGACCCATTGGGCTACGGTCATTATTATTGATTATTTATTTATTTATTTATTTATTTTGCTTTTTGGCTTGAATTCTTGAACGGTAAATTTGCAACTTGGTGTTTTACTAGTGCATGTTGTGTTTGCAAAGGTAGTGTTTGATGGAATGTGTGTAACATATTTAATCTTTCCCTGATTAACTTGAGTACCTATCATATGCATGAGTTTTTTTTTCAATGTTGCTTAATATTTTTTTTCTTACATTATTTTTTATTTTTGTTGTATTCCGATAGTATAAAATCTTGTTTCGTCAAATATTAAATAAAGATGTGCAATTGCATACCCTTAAACTTTTACATAGAAATGATATTTTTGACTTTTTGTAAGAGAAAAAAAAAATTATATATCAAATATTAGTTTTCCATAATCCATACCCATTAGTCTAATATTTGCCTATTATGCCATATCATAGGGCCATTTTTATAGTTTCCTCTTTCTTTTATATTGATCTTATTGTTGTTTTACTTCTGTTTCTTTCCTTTTTTTTTGATCTTTTGCTTCAGGGGTGTCCAATCACTAGTCCAAAAACGAGTAGGTTTAATTTTGTTACAAGCGAAAATGTTTTCACGTAAAACGTGATCAACAAAAACGAAGCTTCAAACTACACTAGAGTAGCAACTAATAATAATAAGAATAATTCAAGATAACTAAAATGCCTATAAACATGAAACTGTAAATCAACCAATATTTTCACGTAAAACATGATCAACAACCCAATGGAAGCTAGTTAACTTTACTGAAAAATATGAAAATTAACGATAAGTTAAAATTTAAAGCATCATCAATCAACTAACATCCGTCACTTTATTCCACTAAGCTTCACATTTGATGGAACAATAAAACCTTTAGCTTGCATACAAGAAATAACCTACCAACCAAAGTAATAGTAAAACATTAAGAAAATTGATAGGATAATAGGATACTTAAACCAATTTATAGTTTATCACAAGATACAGCAAAATACATTTTACCTTTGAACAATGAATCCCGATTTCAAGTTCCTTGACATGGCCAAGATTTAGTAAAAATTTCTTAAACATCTCTTGTTCTGCTTCATTAGGCATTGTAAAACCATTCATGTCATTTCTGGATTTAAGTTCGCTTTCACTAAAGAAATCACATTTACCAACAATGCTCGTAATATTTTACCTTGGATTGTTAGTGATAAAATATTAGGAGCATTGATTTCAATGATATCGGATTTAAATCTAGATAACACCAAATTTTTAACACGTTTTGAAGTAATATCAAGCCGCTTATAACCATAACAATTATGCAACACCAAAGTTTCCAAAACAGCACTCCCAGATAATATATTTTTGATCAAATCTTCGTCTAAACTCCCAAAAATTATACACAACCTCCTAATATTTTTCCAACTTATGGCCCCAATTGGATTAATCATGCACCAACTAATTTCAAATCAGTTAAACATGATCTAGTGAAAAGAATTTGATCTAACATAAAATCATCTCCCCATTCAGTTTTCCACAAATCCAACTTAAGCACTTCAACGTTGCATCTTATAGCATAAGGAATCCAACTTTTAAGTTGCGACTGAAATTGAATGTCAAAACAGCTACACACTTTGAATTTCTTGAGTTTCAATTGGGGAAATTGAGTTACTGATGAAATATTAGGAGCATTGATCTCATTTGAAGTATAACCATGACATTTTTTGAACACCAAAGTTTCCAATAGAGGACTCCCTGATATTATATTTAGGAATAGGCCTTCATCTAAATTGACATTGTTAATATACAAACTCCGAAGATTTTTCCAACTAATAGCACCAGTTGGATTCAACATAAAACATGATAATCTCAGATCAGTAAAACATGAACTGATGGGAAAAAAAAAAGATTGATCTAACAGAAACTTAAGCTCCCATCCATGAAACCCCAAGTTAAGCTCTTCAACGTTACATCTTATAGCATAACGGATCCAATTGTTGTAAACAGATTCAAACTGAATATCATAAATGGTATGCACTTCCAATTTCTTGAGCTTCAATTGGTGACATTGAGTTAGGGTTTTGTCCACCAATAAATGGAAATACGGCGTTAAGTGATAATAATCTGAATGTGAAAAAATGAGAGTAGGTATGGAGGTCCAAAGATGCTTCCAACGCTTGGAGAGTATACCTGTTTTAATGGCGTCTTTTGTGGAGGGAAAATGAGAAAGGATTTCCTGAAGCAAGCAATCAGGCAACGCACTAATTGCATCTTCTTTCACCTTCTCCACGACTTCTTGAAACATAATCAGATTCTAGGCCATTTTAGTTTGATGTTCTACTTCTTCCAACATTTTAATCGCAGCAACAGGCGGCGGAGCTTGAACAATTTTTTAGGGGGGGGGGGGGGTGGCGATTTGCCGAAAGTATTATAAACTAAAATTAACGTTCTTACACACAAAAAAAAACAAATTTGTTTTTGCAAATAAACACAAAAAATAACTAGAAAAAGAATTACAACGCAACCTGAAGACCTTTAAGGTCTTTGAATTCATTAATTACCGACTTCGAATCAATGTTTTCAGTAATTTCTCTTTCTATGTAAACCACCAAGTTGTTTGTGAGAAATTCATCCGACATCGTATTGCGAAGACGGTTCTTAAATATTTTCATTGCTGAAAACCCCCTCTCTGTTATTGCGGTAGAAACTAGAAATGTCAAGATTAACCGCACCAATCTATCAAGCAAATAATACGTCTCATGTTTCTGAGTTTCCACAAGACCCTTGCATAAGTCAGCACTAGTTGATACACCACTAAGCTTGGGATTTTTTTTCATATCAATATTAAAAATCTCCAATTGATAGCTTAATTGAATTCTCTCTTGCTCCGTAAAATCTTCGGGAAAATACTTCTCAACAAGACGACAAATTTGATCAACTTTAATCACTTTAGGGTGTTCTTTTGAAACTAAAGTAGAACTAAGACTTAATAGCTCCATTGCCTGATCATTGAATCTACTATTCAACTCATGTAACTGTTTGTCCAATATGGCTGTAAACAAATCTACTCGATAAAAATGTTCAAAAGTAACATGATTATCTGTTTTTCGAGGCCGATATCGAGTAGAAGTATATGGGTCATTCATATCTGGCATATCTATTTGATGTTTTTCACAAAAGAAAAAACTTTACATGTGCAAGTAAAGAGTCCCATCCCTTGTTTCTGAATTCATTTAGACTCTCCTTTGTTGTTGAAACTAACTCCATGACATTAAGAATCTCTTGAGATTTCTTTTGTAGAGCTTAAGAAAGTACGTCAGTTTTCCCCATTACTTCCTTTATCTAGTGAAGAATAAACACAAACTCAAATGATTTTCGGAAACAATAATCTGCATTAGCATCTTCGCATTGAGAATAAGTAGCAGATACGTCATCAATTATTCCCTGGAGAACAACACGAGTACAATCAAACATGTTAAGCAAACTGCAAACAGAACGAAAATGAGAACCACAATGTGTATCACCAGCTCTTCTTAATGTCCCAACTTGATTCAATCCTTTGCCTGATTCGATTTCACTTAGTTCCAATAATTGTTCAATCTTAGTTGCCTTCGCCTTTTGTAACTCATCATGATGCTTACTGGAAGCACAAGCTACATTAATTAAAAAAATTAAGTTTATGAAAAATTGGTGTACAAGAATAATTTCCCTTGAAGCAGCTACCAAGGCTAGTTGTAATTTGTGAGCACAGCAATGAACATAATACGCATAAGGACAATCCTTAAGAACAAGTGTTTGTAATCCATTCTATTCCCCTCTCATATTACTAGCACCATCATAACCTTGACCACGGATTTTACTAACATCAAACTGATAGTGCAAAAGTTGTCTCCACATATTTGTTTTTAGGGTTAATGATAAGGTATCCTTAACATGAACCAAATCCAAGAACCTTTCCCGTATGATCCCTTCTACATCAACAAATCTCAAAACTATCGCCATTTGCTCTTTTTTAGACTCATCCTGTGACTCATCAACCATGACACAAAAATATGAATCACCTACTCCACTACAAATATGCTTTCTAACTTTATTTGCAAAAATACTAAGAATTTCTTTTTAAATTTCTCCAAAAGTATATTTTGAATTATAAGGAGCTTTCTCTAATATAACATTTGCTACTTCATCATTATAAGATGCTAGAAGTTTTAGTAGTTGCAAAAAATTACCACGGTTTTTGGAATTAGGAGATTCATCATGTCCTCATAAAGCTCACGCTTGGAATGTCAACCAACGAACTGTGTCAATCAAAGCTTTTAATCATAAACGATTCTTCAATATTTGCTCTTCATTTTGCTTCATTATGATATTTTCAATGTGTGCTTCTTGGTTCATCAAATTTTCACCGAATGCAACAACATTTCTATGTTTTGAACAACCAATGTGCATCAAGAATGCACAATTTTTCCTATCATTAACTTTCTTCCAATTGTCAAATCCTTTAATAGTAAATGCATCATAACCATGGGACACAATTGGTTTATCGTTAAATATAAAACAAATAAAACAATAGGATGCATGTGTTGTTGGAGAATATTCTAACCAATTAGGGAAAATGTTGAACCAAGAATATTGGAATCTATGAGGATGTTTCTTTGAACCTTTAGCATGATATTCTTTAAGACGTATTTGGAAAGGTCCTAAACTCATATAAGCTCATCTTACTTCTTCCCTTAAGTTAACCGGATATTTCCACATTTGTTTTCTTTTAACGGGATCTCTTTCTAGTTGCTTAAGATCCGCTTGGACCACCTCATTAGGATTTGATTGTGTGGCTTCAATCCTATCATTCTCTTGTTGGTTTTCATGTTCTTGTGGTTGTGGTTCACTTGTTGAACCTTTGTGATGTTTAATCTCTTCATTTTTATCATGAATTTCTTCATTATCAACCTTTCTTTTGAAGAAAGAATGAATGGTTTTCATATCTCTCAAGATTGTATTTATAAAAATCAAAATCAAAAGACAATTCATAAGAAAATAAGCAATGTGTAATTTAGTAATAGTTGATTCCTAAAAGTCCAGCAACAATCAAATATAGAGGAAAAACAACAATATAGTTCTTTTAGACATAACAGTATATATCAGTTCATAAAACAGGCTCCTAAAATTCCTAAAATTCCAACATATAACATATCAGTTCATAAGTAATAAGTTTATTCTATACATTAGACAAGTAACAAAACAGGCTCTGAAGTCAGAAGTCCTAAAAAATTCCAGCAAACTAAACAAATGCAAGTAAACAATAGGAAAGAAGTTAAATTGAAACTTGAAAGCTCAAAGCTAAAAGCATACCCGAGGATGGGGAATCAATTGGGGATTGCAGCAGAATTGCAGCTATGCAATCGTGCAAAAGTCAGAAGCAGCAGAACAGCAGTAGTTAGCAGGGGCGCACGTAGCAGCACCGCGGGCGGCAGGTCCGCAGCAACCAGCACCCAGCAGGCGACGGCCGACGAGCAGGCGAGTGGCAACGAGCAGACTTCGATTTGGCGGACAAGCGATTGAGCGAAGGTTGAGGCTTTACTGATTGAACGACGAAGCTTTACTGATTGAACAAATGAACGCATAAATTCTCTCTCTTGGATCGGCTTCTTGGCAAACAAACATTGGATCAGGTTATCAAGAGGGGCCACAGCCCAAAACTCACATTGTTGGGCCTATAATTCCGAAAATTAAACATATGTACTCTACTTCTAACCCAAAATTCAGGGGGGGGGGGGGGGGGACAACCCCTCCTGGCCCCATAAAAGGTGCGCCCCTCAACAAAGGCACAAAGCCCTTGCTGCTTCCCTCCAAGAAAACCTACAAAAACTCAATTGCCGTGGAATGTAAGAAACTAAAGTTGTGTTTTAGCCACTAAACTTTGAAAATATACAATTCGGTCTATATATTTCTGTATTGATATAATTTTTTTAACGATCGGTCTTTAACCAAATGTGAAAAATAGAATTTAATTATGGAAGGTTAACAATAAGAAACTATACCCTATATACATATTTGATTATTTATTTATATTTTTTTTATACGATTCAACATTAAAAAAATAATAATGTTCAATATACATCGTATTAATCGGTAATAGTCGGGTACAATTTGTCATGTAGGGTGTTTATGACGTTAAAAGACTATGGGGTTTGGATGCGGTAAGACATACAATTTGTCATGTAGACCATCGCCCCTAGTTTGCGGTTTGGACCAAGGTATAGCCAAACATGGCTAAAATTTGTGGTACCTGAATATTCTATTACCTTCTTCTAATAAATATGGGTATTTTTTTCTTCATTTAACTATTTTCTCTTCCCTCTGTATCTTCTTTTTTTTTTTTTTTTTTTTTTTTTTTTTTTTTTTTTTTTGTACTTCTTTTTCTTTGTGGTAAGAAAACTATGTTCTATATGCACGTTATGTTTCTTTCTAATTTTTTATACTTTAATTACCATTAAATAGACAAGTTGTATCTAAAAAAACATTATTGTGACATTTTATCATTATATTAAAAGAACATTTATTTTGCACACTACCACAAAAGAAAACTAATATGATGTACTAACATAAAAAAAATGGAGTAGATGTTATGAAAAAAATAATACACATAAAATTAACTAATAATAATAATTTACACTAACATAAATTATCTTATATTACCTTATAAACATTGATATTTTAAATAATCAGTAAAAAATTTCAAATTAATCAGATAATTGATATTAAATCACTTAATAATAACAAAAGTTTAAATTAACACTAAATCAATAATTATATTTAAATTTATTCACGAGTAAACCATGAGTAGATATTATTAAGTGATTTAATTCTAGCTGTTGTTTATTTTATCATATCGTTTTAATAAATAATTATATTTTACATATCAACATAGTGTAAAAAATATTATTTCATAGTTAGTAATATTATTTCATAATCTGCACAATGAGCAAACATTGGTTTGTAGAGTTAATTATAAATGCCTATAAATGACACATTATTGGCAACCACAAGCTTTGTTTTCAACACCAACCAAATATTTATAATAAAAGCAATTTTAGTTAAAAGCACCGACCTTATCCAAAAGCTTCAATTATGTCATTATCCCAATTTACACTCTAAGTAAATTACAATTTGTCATTCAAGTGCTTAGAACAAAATCATGAATTATGCCTTTGAAAGAATTTTTTTACGAATCCATTGATACTTACATCCACCCTGATTCCATAACTTTGTTTCTCCTTAAGTGTAAACACGAGTGACTTGCAC